CCGTCATATGCGATGTGATAACCAGTGCCCAAGATGTGGGGAGGACGATGAATCTGTTAACCATGAGATCTTTGAGTGTCCCCCAACTCTATAAGCTTGGGCCTATGCAAGCACACCATCGGCACCGAATATTTTTCCAATCGCTAGTATCTACACTAACCTGGATAACTTATTCTGAAGAAAGAATGCAATTGAAGATCCAGTCCTTGACAGAGATCCATATCCATGGATAATTTGGTATCTCTGGAAGGCAAGGAATGACAAGTTGTTCAGGGGAATTACAAAAGATCCAATGCAACTGGTTAGATACGTGGAGAGTGAGTGTAACGCCTGGTTTGAAGCCAATTTTTAAAGTACGGAGACTATACCACATCAACCACAAAATACTCAAGCCATAAGGTTCCAGAATATTTGTCTACTAGATGGATCTTGGACTGCGAAGTCACCTTACAGTGGATTTGGGTTGGTATTCTTGGTCGGTTCAGGAGGGGAGCAACTCATGGGACTGAGGAACACTGAGAGACGCCTGTCTCCAATCCACTCAGAGCTGGGAGATCTCATATGGGCAATGGAAAACATGATACAGTACAAAGTATGTCAGTACTTTGGAACAGACTGCAAGAATATGGTAGAGATGATAAAGGATCCCAGAGCATGGCCTGCTTTTGCAACTGAGCTTCTGGAAATTTGGCGACTACAAGACCAGATTCAGGACTTCAAGATCTTCCACATACCGAGGACCCGGAACAAGACTGCAGATGCGCTAGCAAGGACTGCTCGAGTTTTTCATAGGACTCCTATTTTTGTTGGTTGTTCTATCCCGGTATGCATTCCTAAACCACCTCTAGTTTGAGTGATGTAACAACCGTTTGTCGTCAAAAAAAAAAAAAAATATATATATATATATATATATATATACATGTAACAAAATGTTTATTATGTTTATTTCCTTTGATGTTCAATTCATATTATGTAATGTGATATATTTTGTTATTATACTATTTATCTTATTTGATTATATTTGATGATTAATAAATTGTATTCTATTTTGTTTGAAAGTATAGTTTATAATTTATTATGTTCTAACCATCATTTCATGGTTGTGGACATTGGTAACTTTTGATAAATAAAAACGAACGTTTGTACTATTAACCTATAGTCGTATTTCTTTATATTATTCACCTTTTCAACACTTTTTAATCTCAATGTAGTATAGTATTCATAAAACACTTATAGTATGTTCATGTTTTTTGTAGCAACATGTCTTATATCTTTCAACGTCATCAGATACTTTTGTTTTTACCGTGTATTTGACCAAAAGAACATGTTTACTTGTTACACTAAAGATTAAAAATGTTACCTACTTAATTATCAAATTATAGGTGCGTCTTAACATTTACTAGGGGTTTATCGGCACTACGTGCCGGATTTTTGTACAATGATTAATGTTTAGTAATTTTAATACTATTTTTTTGGTGTTTTAGTAAAAAATATTTATCAAACATGTAAACATATATTTATTTTTTTCTATTTCTCCATTCATTGTTTTTAGATTATTTTAAAATAAACAAAATTTGAATACCTATGCAAAAACATTTTAGCTTTATACGTAAATTGATCTTTTGACCTTTATTTGATCTTTGTTGCTTTAACCAAAATTATAATAATTGGGTATTATGTTCCTAAATGTTCGAAATATATACCATTAGAAAGATATACCACGAATTTTGAATGCAATAAAATCAAAGTAAATATTATTAATCACAATTACATTGATTGAAATACTACAATATCAACAAATGCATATCAAGATTAAAAAATGAAAAATATTTTACTTCTTTCATTTGACTGAATATTTTTTTTTCCAACAGAATACATGTATGATTTAATATACTCCAATTTCAAGAGACATAATATTTTAGGATTGAGACTATAATATATGAATCATATTATAGTTAGACCATTTGGCACAACATAGTTTTTAAAATAGTAATATTTTACTATTCTATATGCATACATTAACTGTATTCATATATGCACCAAAAGTAAATCTCCTACTCAAATTTATGAATTATTTTATTTATGTTATATTTCAATCTTGAGAGGCTGGGATATGATTTATGCATGAGTACTGATATATTATATGATTTTAATTATTTTGTTTGATTTTAGAATCGTTTTATTATGTTTAACTATTTATACTATGTGGATTGTTTTAATTTACTATTTTAGAAATTGTTCAATGAAAAAAATGATTGATTTAGAAGTTTAATATATGAACTGTTTATTTTTTAATGTAAAAAAATGTTTAGTTAAACTGAAATGATATACAAAGAGAAAGATTGTTTCGTCGATAAGAAAAGATAAAGAGAAAAAGTCGAAATTTCTAGCAGAGGTACCAATCACCAAGATATTTAAGTCTTAAGTATATATATACAGATATGCGTACACACCTTAAATCAACTATTGACTGAAGGAGGGGGGAAGACCAATAGCTTCAGCTAACTTCGTCTAGGTAAAATGCACGACAGAAGTCCAAAACAAAAAAGTTAGGCAACATTCATCAATACTTGAAACCCACAAGTGGTCATGAAGAAAAAGAACCAATATAAGCAAGCACCAAGAAACATGGTACCCTCCTAAGAGCTGCGCTTGAGCTTGCCATGATTTTTTGGCTGTAAAGAAAACATTAGAAACTCTTCCAAAAGTTTATGCCGAATGAGAGTTAAGAGAGATAGGAAAAAAGAACCAAAACAGAACATTGAGAGACATAAATCAAAGAGTGGATATAAAAGTGTTCACATAGACCGATGGAAAATGTATTCCAGTGACATTCTTTGTAGCCACTTGTGATTGGTTTTGAAAAGATCCCAATTGTTTGCGTTGTTTATGTTTTAAATTGTTTACATTTGAAGAGGTTGCACTACTTCATCAAACCCAACTGCAGAAGCTTATGTTAGTTTGATTAATGAGTGAGCGGTGAAGGTTGAGCTTTTAGTAGATATGATAACTTGCCTTCGTGATCCCGTGAATATTCTTTAGCCTACTGCAAGTGATAGCTCGTGCACATGCTACAACATGTTTTTCGTTAAAGACACTCGTTCTACGGCAGATATATGTTCTACAAATGAAGTATGTGGCAGGCAATGACAATCTACAACGGTGAAGGGCTAACTGTTGTAAAGTGGTGCTTAAAATACGCTGCTAAATTGAATCTTCAGTCGGAGCCTCCACTAAGTTTGCAAGTTGTTATTTATTTACATGTCAAAACAAGGCTTACTTGATGAGACGCATACAAAATTTTTAAAAAGAAAAAGACACAAGACCCTAACATGAGGTGGAAATAAGTTGTAGACAAATTTCATTAATATACGAAATATAAAAGAGCTCCAGAGTAGTTGTGGAAGTCGACATGAGGGTCATAGACTCCATTACTTGATATTTTACTCAATGCTTATTTACAGAGAGTCCGTGTTCAAGAACTGTTGGATCCTCAGTGCTCCGCAGTCATTTCAAGAACAGGTCGAGCACTTGGTAGAGCTGCCTCGCTCCTTTTTTCTTCAACCATCCCAGAATATCAAGCCTTCTGCTGGTTACTGGAACACTGATGTACACACCATGTAAGGAGGATGAAGATTAAGTTGTTGTTGAACTGACCTGGACCGCAAAATTAGACGTGGAGGATGAAGATTAAGTTGTTGTTGAACTGACCTGGACCGCAAAATTAGACGTGTAAGTTCATATAACTACCATAATAGCCAGTTAGCCACTGTGTAAAATAAATTCTTTAAATTGAGTAATGATTTCAACATACCGTTTTGAACGTATATTTGCCATAATCCGCAAAATTAGACGTGTAAGTTCATATAACTACCATAACTAGGTGCTAACCCGCGCGGGGTGAGATTATTAATTTTGTATATTTACATTAGGTTTGTTTAATGTGGACATTGGTTGGTTGTAGGTTGAATTATTCTTTGAATAATGGTGAAAGATTCAAGAATGCAGGGAAGGGTGTTGATATTTCCTTTGTGTTCATGATGATCCAAGAATACAAGGAAGGGATTCTTTTCTTTATAACGAAATGTATTACATGGATTCTTGTGTTTATAACTTTACACGAAGATGATTGGTTTGATATCTTGAATACGATAGGGAATAGTAATGTGTGCAGATATTTTATAGGAACTACAGATAAGTAAGTAAGATAGATAGAGAAATCTAGTGTAAATAAAATAAATTCAATTCCATTTATAATAAATATGCATATCTCATTATTTAGAAAACAAAGAATGGTCTAAATAAAAATAGGTATTGTAAAAAAAAGCTTCAATTAATAATTAGATAGAAAAACTTCGAAACTTCAGAAATCGATGATTGGAATCCTGCAAAGACATAATTTCAATATATGAGGAAAAACCAAAATTTTCTTATATATACTATCCACATATTATATAACCAACTTAGTATATTGTGCTTACTGCGATTTGAAGAACTGAATCTCTGGGATGTCAGAAACACCTTCCATGTTTGTAACACAAGTGAGACAATCAATAAAGTAATATCAACAATAAGTACAGTAACCAGACAGTTGTGAATAGTAAAAAGTAAAAATAAATATAGATTACCAGCTCCCCACTCAATTCTCCATAGCGTTAAAACATATACTACACCATTTGCAGTATTAGAACGCCAGAATGCATTTAAACTACGGGCTAGAGCTCCATAACAAACACACCTCACTTCAGTGTACTTGTTACATTTGTGTTATATATGAGTCAATATAAATTGCACAAACATTGTCGTATTATAAATTAACAAATGTAAAATGATAAAAGTTTAAACCTGAGATTTATTAAGGAGAACTCCAGCGAATATTGAATAGGATTGTAAATGTTGGCAGGATGATATGTCTTATTAGCTATAAGATCTCCTACATGGAGCAATACTCCACATAAATCTACATAAGAGAAATTGTTTCAGATTTTAGTACCATTAGGTTAACAATGTAAGTAAGAGTTAAGCATAGTCCACATACCAATGCAGTACATAGGACAATAAAGACCCCGATTGATACCACCGAAGTTTGCACAACATAGAAAGTTAGAACCGTTTACTGGTTCTATCTTTCGAAACAAAGTCGATTCATTGAACTTGATTGTGTACTTGTGCTTTGTGGTTCTGTAGAGCTGAAAAACCCTTGTTATGTCGAAATTGAGTATCTCAACCCAGTCACCTTCTTTGAGTTCAATCTCTTTAGGTAGAGACAAAGCATCGTTTAGGCTCCCTTCAATTGTTACCCCCTGTTTAAAACAAAAAAAAATTACTACACAATTTATTATAAATGTAATTTATTAAAGGTTCATTAAAATATAAGAAAACTTACTTTCGCATCTCCTAAGAGAATGACTGAATGGTGATCTCTTCCAGTTTTCGTACTCCATTTCCTGATTATCTTAACATGGATAGCAGGGAATGAAATCTTATTATTCAACTCACTCAAAAAAAAGGAAGTTAACCATCATGCAAACAGTTTGATACTTTATTCTATTACGTGTGTTTTTAGGTTTACTTAGGTTGGTTAGTATAAAGTGTATATATATAGGTTTCGGCTGAACATTCAAAGAAATTTATTAAGAGATTTAGTGAATATATTTGTAGGATCGGAATCGGAAGATTATATATATAATTCCTAAACGCAGATGAATAAATTCTTTTATATATGCCATATTTTTTTATTCACAATTTTACTTTCTCAGTATCTAAATATTATATTCCTTGACTATACTAATGGTTTGCTATTCAGGGAATAATTGAGCAATACGTCTATTATTCCCAACTAAAGATAACCCCTAAGACTTTGTTTAATTTGCCTAATATGTCTAATTTCCATGCACTCACTTTGTTGTATCAAAAAAGATACGTGAGGAAGTTAAGTAGAACATTTCCATTTATATTTTTTCTTCCTTTATCCCTATATATATTCGATTGGGCCATGCACGGAAATTTGTATATATTATATTGTTTGATATGTGGTTAAATTACCAAAACGATTACATATCAATGAGTAGAGTATATAACTAAGAAAAACATGGTAGCATATATAACTAATTGCATTACAAATATATAAAGATCCTCGACTTGCTACTATTGAGAGGGACAATGAAAAGGGAAATAAAAATGCAAACATCTAAAATTCTCGGTTAGTGGTATGGAAAGTTATGTACAAGAGATTTTCTTTTCTTGGTGAACAATTAAAAGTAGGGAATAAAATAGTTAAACATTAAGTGGCAATATAAGCTATCCTAATCTATTTTCTAATTAAGATAGCAAAAAAATTACATTGTAAAAGAAATATATAATTCTCGGTATGTCTTAGTTTAGTTTTGTATGCATAGAAGTTTATTTCCGCTGTAAACTTAATAATAACAGAAATTACGATATATTTTCATTCTTAGTACGTTAAATAATGTGTTGGCTGGCTGGTGAGAACCTTCATCAGTAAGAGTTATTAGAATTGTTCGATTTTGCTGTCTCACCAAAAAAATATAAAAGACAAACCATCACGAATTCAAATATAAAAAAAATCATATTGGGATATAATTCTCGAAAGTAAGAAAAAAATAGTTGCAAAGTAAAAACAAATTGAAAAGATTATTAAACCATCTAGAACAGAGAATTTGTTTTTAACTAAAAATACACTAAAGTAAAATTTGACATAGAACTCCCATAATTCATAAGTCAAAGTCTTGGATGCTGTTGAATTAAAATCAAGATGGATAGAATGGAATCTTGAAATATAAAATATATTTTTTACATTAGCAATACTTTTATAGTAATGATCTTTACTGCCACTCATATCAAACAAACTCACTTTGATTTGAAGTACTGTATGTCAGGAATTTGAGGATCAAATAAAATATCCGAACATTCTTCAAAATTTGTGATATAGCTCAAGCAACCTATAAAATCAACATTTCAGTTTCATAACAAATCTTTAAATATGAATGTATAAACAATTGTAAAATAAAGCAAGATAACCTTTGCCCCACTCAATTCGCCATAGTTTCAATACACAAACAACAACCTTCGCAGTTGATGAGTACCAGTTGTCATATAGCTTATCAGCTACAGTTCCATAGGCAACACAGTTGATTTCATCAAAACTACATAAAATATAATTTGTGATGTTATCAAATATGAAGTTGTGAAAACGTAAAAAAAAACATATAATAGCACTCACTCGTAATTCATGATGGAAAACTGAATTCGACTTTGGTGTCACCATTAATCTGGTTGGGTTGCACTTGAAGTACATCTTCGAGAGGGCCTACATGAACCAAAGCTCCGCATATATCTAATTGAAATACATAAAAACCAGTTAGAGATTATTAGACTATCGAATTCATATGCCACTACGAAATATTATGGGAACAGAATCATTAAACTAAGAAAATTGACAATGCAAATTTGGCCCATATCAATACATAACTTAGGATGCGATAAACCACGGAGGATGGTGTCGTACTTCGCACAAAAAAGAAAGTTAAACTTGGTGATAGGTTGAATCTTTGATAACACTGCGTTTTGTGTGAGGGTGATATGGTATTTGTTCTTTGTTGTGCGTATCTTTCCAATAGCAGGAATTAGTTTAAAATCATAGATTTCAAACCAATCACCTTCGTTTCGAGTTATTCCAAACGACAATTTAACATCGCAAGGTATAGTTGCTTCGATGGTTGTATCCTATTGTCATAGAAGAAATGATATGTCAGAATAGTATATGAGAAAAAACAACATTCATAAAAAAACAGATGATGCTAACCTTTTCATCTCCAAAAACCAAACATGTACCTGGTCAAATTGAACCAGTGGGTGACTTCCAGGTTCTGACTATCTTTACACGAATTGCAGGCTGCTTTTTTCTTGGAATCAAGGCAGACAAACATGTATAGGTCGACATTACTGAGAAAACGTGAAAGGTTTTCGTCTTTGGTATTCTAGCAGTTTATGATTTAATTCGATGAACTAATTTAATACACAAGCTACCATTTATTGACATAGTTTATTTGGGAATTTGTGATGCAGATTATATGAATATTGAACATCCATGTGAATATAGAAAGACTATATATACATATCATATCTTTTGAATGAAACGAATTACAATATTTGTAAATATGTATCTAAAAAATATTATAGTATGAGCTTTGCCATAACTCATTTTCTATATAAATCATCATAAACAGTTAGAAAAAGGGAATTAATAAATTTTAGTGGAACGACAAGTTCTCTTCACAATATATGCAAGTTATTTTCACATTTCGTTGCATTCATATATTTGTATTATACTTTGTATGACTATTATATAGCAGTTAGTCAAAAAATATATATTAAAAATGCAATGCTGATAGAATATACTTCTTAAAAATAACAAATCCAGATCTAAGTATAAATAAATATAGGTTTAGTAGACAGTGTTTGAACTGAATTTTTTTTTTTTTTTGCGATGAGTAAAAGACTTGGTAGAATTTGATGTTCTTGAGCTTCAAAATAGATCTCCAGCTACGAAATGGTAGTATTTGATATGTTCTCAGACATCCTGCAAATATACAACAAAGATATTGGTAAAGTAAACCATTTTTGAATACTCTTACTAATTCATAAATAGTTTTGTCAACATATATAACGGAGTACAATATTGTTAAGTATATTTATGGTTAGACACTTACAGTAATGAGATGATCATAGCTTCTTTGCACAATTTCTGGTCGAAACACACAGAATAAGCTCCACTGTATAAATAAATAAGGAATATTCAACACGTTAGACTAATAAAATGTCGTTTACATCCGTTTTATAAATCCAGAAGATGTTAACTATGAAAGATCAATAAAACCGTCTACTTACTTGTCATTGCTTATCTTCAAATAAGTTCTGGAAAACTTCTTTGTAAACCACATTCATCGTTGAGCTCTGAGGTTTCCCGTCCTTGTCAGTAATAAGGATCTTTAATCCATCCCTTGATTTCACTCGAGAAACAGCGACGTATAATTGTCCATGCGAAAAACAGGTCTAGGTATATACAAACCCACCTTTGGTAGTGTTTGACTTTGGCTTTTATTTATCGTCTTTGCAAAAGCAACTTTCAATAGAAATTGCCTACGCCTCATTTGGAAAGGAAGCTTAGTATCTATTGGTGTGATTAGAATACGATGTAGGAAGACCCTTTCACCAACTCTAGTCCCTGTGATAACCTTTGCTTCAATAATGTGATTAGTCAGTTGCATTATCTGAAACCTTGTCCTATTGCATAAACCTTCATTAGTGTCAAGATTTCTCATCAACATCACTGGTGTACCAATCCTCAGTCTTAGACAATTATTAGGTAACCCTGATGTTTTGATACTATTAAGAAATTCAGGCGTGAAGACTGAGTCGTCTTTTGCTCTTGAATCAGCTGGGTCTATACTATCTGAGCTTAAAAATATTTTCTCCTCACCTACACAATATAATCGCAGCCATTATAGAAAGATGAGTGAAGAATGTCTAGGTTTTCGTTTAGGTTATGAGTCCTAATGATGAGAACAAACTTTTATTATATAGGGGATAATAAACCTAATGGAAGTTACGCCGTCTTTCTAATAAGATAATTAAATGTAAATATCTTTTCCTTGGTCAGTAATTTACTTCGACCACAAGAATGTCAATATTTCCATAAACCAAACTTTTTAAATAAATGCAAATCATCATTAATAAACCTTGCCAAACACTCAAATGCTGCGAACCGTTTAGTCAAAACATTAACCGGTTCAATTCAATATCAGAGTAGTCGAAACCAACGGTTCTATCCAATTTAAATGGTTTAAACAAACTACGTCAAATTCATATTGGGAAGTTCATGCTTGGTACAAGAAACTTGCATTATATATATTTCCGGTCAAGCTATGTCAAATAGGTTTCTTTGTGAAGACAAAGATCGTTAACGAATTTCATGCTATGTCTTCTCGTCTTGAAAGTTGAAACCACAAGGCAACGACTATGAAGAAACTTGCATGGTATATACTGCAGGTCAAACAAAGTGAAGAATCATTCTTTCTCGTAAACTGTTCTCCGTGAACATTCCAATATTTACTACTTCTTTCAGCTTTGGTACATCCCCTATATACATTATAGTGTCACAAATCCCTTATAAGAGGAAGAAAGGAAGAGACGTCATCATCTTCTCCGTTATGTTCATGCGAGTAACAGAGAACTCCTTAAATCTACTTGGGACGTCGTAAACTTGATATCTTACATGATACAATCATGCACGTATATATGATAATAAGTAGTAGTATCAATCTTCAATCTTACGGACAACTCTCTTTGACACTCCTAGTTTAATCAGAATGGTCCCTAACGACTTAAACATCGACTCATCTGGTTTAACTCCAGACGAACCCATCTCTTTAAAAGTCTCAACAGCTTCTTTGAACCTTCCACTCAAAGAGTATTAACATATGAGAATCTTCATCTCCCTCAT